ACATTGCTCATTCGATGATCGATGGAATTGCTTGATCCTTCATTCATTATTAGAATCTTTTATGAGATTCATCCTCTTACATTTCTGCAATCACTATTACTCAATCAAAAGCTTGAAGGCGACTCAGTAGGAACACAATCCGATATATGTATGGGTAAGCAGTTTGAAGGCTCCAGTGAGAAGCCACTGTGGTTGGGGGGGGGGACTGTGGGACGACACTCACATGGAGTATGACATAGGAGAGAGGGGGAGGGTCAGATGGAGTTGCAGTGACATGGGGACAGGCATAATGTGCACCATTAATTCCTTTGACTTTACAGGTGGGATCGAAGGCAGGGCATTGCAACGCAGAAAAATACTAGTGGCGTTGGGGTCCCAACCACATGGCCTTCTTTTGGAATTTATCTCATGGCAAGCTCGTAATTTTTTATATGTATATATATATATATATGGAATTTATATGTATATATATATATAGTGATTTTTTGAAAAAAAAAGATTATTTTTAATTTTTTCCGAGAAATATTCTCTATTTCTAGAATTTTCAAACAAGGTCTCATTTTTGTCTAATACTTAGAAGATCATTTTCTCTCCTTTTTTTTTTTTTTTTCTTATGGACTAGTTCAATTATAATGTTTTTACACTATGTTATAGGGTTTTAATGATACTAGAAAAATGTTATAATGTAATTAAAAATAACTTAACAAAGTAGTTTTGTATAAATCTTAACAAAATATTTTGCTTATAATATTTTTACACAATGTTATAGTGTTTTTAGCAATATTAGAAAAAATATATATATAATATATTATAATATAATAATTTTATTTTTAATAATATAAAAATATAACATGGTATAAAAATATTGTAACATGATATTTTTATAATGTATTATAATATTTTATAATATTTCAGGTATTAGGTAAAAAGAGGACACTGCTTGGGATTTATGGAAATAAGGGGCACTTCTAAAAGAATTTTTTTTTTTTTTTTTTTTGAGAATTCAACCCTTCCAACACAAAATATGAGTAGGATTTATGCCTTAGTAACTATAAATTTTATTTTCTTGAAATAAAAAAATAATTAGACTAATAAGAACAATTTACAACCTGAACACCTTCCAATTAATATTGTTCTTTAGCCCAAACTTTACCTATTGGATTTCTTAGGCTACTAATATAAGTTATCTCAGCCTTTTACTTAATGATGAGAAATTCTCCAGCAAAAATTATGAGGTTTCAATTATTTTTCGTAAACTTATATATGAATTCAATAAAAACAAAATATACATATACATGAAGCACTCAAAATAGTCCAGTTTGGGCCAGGCCCAGTCCAGCCCAACCCAGATTTCAGGCCCTCAGATTCACAATCCTCATCCATTGATCTCCCTTTGAGATTTGTAAATAATATATATATATATAGTGATATTTTAATTATCTCAGAGATAAGAGTGTCCATTAAAATAAATTAGTTAGGTTGGTGATATGAGTTGCATTCATATTTTAAGATAGAGTTGGTAGCATCATCTCTTCCGAATATGAGATTTTATCTCAGGATAATGTTTAATATGATTCTATATATTTTGTTCTTAAGAATACATTCTGTATTATTAAATATAAATTATATTTATCTTTTAATTATATATGATTAGTTTATGTTCTCCACCAATATTGCTACAAGTGTGTTGGTGTGTGTCCATTGCATGACATGCAAAAGAACAGGCGATGATGGAGATGGCATGACATGGGGTTGAATCCAACACAGCATTTGGATTTTTTTTTTTTTTAATAATTTAATAATTCTAAAGTTTTCTATTTTAATAATGATAAGTTATTATCTTTATTTTTTATTTTAATCTCTTAGAGTCGAAATTTCATCCACAAATACTCTAAAAACAAGAGAGAGAGAGAGAGAGAGAGAGAGAGAGAGAGAGAGAGAGTATTATATTCATCAGCCCTTTTTTAATGTCGAAGGTAGAGAGACGCTATCAGATGATGGGACGGAGGCTCGGTTGCTGGAGCGAGGCACAGGCGACGGAGGTCGCACTTGGACGGGTTCGACGACGACAAGGCCACCCGAAGTCAATGTGGGGCTGCAGCAGCACTGCCGACCTCCACGGCCACTGGTGTGTGGAATGGACGGGGAGAAGGGAGGAGAAGAAGGTGGGAGGAGAGGACTCATGAGCTGGTTGGTGTTCGATGCAGCCCACGGGTGACGGAGACGTTCACATGCACTTTGTCTTCCCCGTACGTCCTAATCTTGGACTCACCTAACCAGGCTTTCTCGAGGAAGGAGACGACTCTACCTAATGCACTGCTCAAGCAAATTCTGATCACATTCAAACACATTGATTCTGATCCATCTCATCTCTCACTGTTGATTCTGATAAGCGAGTCGGAAGAGTTGATGCTTACTTGGAAGAATCATTGTAACGTGACACAAACAAACAAGCAAACAAAGGAGCACAACAACTGCCAATAGGATCTCCAAACAAATATCAACTCGCACGTAGACTTCAAATATTAATCTGATAGTGATATATATATATCAAATTTATTTGCTAAATTTGATTGTTTTTTAAGATGTAAGTTAGTTTAACTAGTAAAAATCTTGACGGTTGATAACATAGATCTCGAGTTGGATTATGTCTTCGTCCACGTATCTTTATATACAAGAAAAAATATAGACATCATGTCACAAATATGGTGGACAATTTTCTTGATAGTGACCTTGTCCTCATTTTTCTCAAAATAAAAATATTTCCCTAATAATATCTTGAAGAAGATATCCACTCGGATATACGTAATATATATCGAAAATGTCATTCGGGATTAAATTTCATCTTTATTGTTTGATTTATAACATATGGAGAATAGTAAAAAAGATGCACATGATGTCACAGCAAAATATTTTTGATAATATCAAATAATATGCTAAAAAATAGATAGTTTATAACCCAGACTTTGATCGATACATCGTCTATAAATAATCAATGTATGCAATCTTCGCTTTGATATCCGAATCATTCGACTCGTAAACAAAATAATCTTATCGAGATTCATGAATTTTAACGATATGATCCTGACACTTAGAGTCAAAATAGAAAATGAGCCATGATAAAACACAAAACAACATAAGATATTTATGCTCAACTTCGAGTTACTCGAATCGGATTTGAATTGTTGCTTTTCACCTTCAAAGACTTGGCAGAGACCAAGAAAGAATGGGAATCAATGGATCTTAGTTGAAGTGGCTAAGCCATTGAATGAGCCAAACCCACAAAATTACCATGCTTTATGTCTTGGTCAGAAACTTGTCGTACAATGCCAAGATATGTAGACCAACCCATCCCAAGATACGAAGAGATGGATGGGGTATCCCATGATTGAAAGTCTAGTCTAGTCGGAACACCATGCCATCACCTCATCCCTCTCCTTGTGCTCATCACTTGAAGTATGGGTTACCCCCCATTCACGCCTCTCACATAACCATAGAGATATATTGTAGCTTAAACTAATATATTTCTTATATTTTTATGCAATTCAATTAGAGTAAAATCATGTTTTAGACTGTTTTTTCCTCATAAAAAAAAATCTTGATTTATTTGGTGCATAAATATAAATCTGGGAGTTTGATAACAAAATGGGAAAAGGTGAGGATTTTTGAACTCTTGCCTTATGTTGTACTTGTATGAGTCTATTTTAATCTAACTCAGAAAAGTGTGACAAACATCCATCCACCCTGCAAATTCATCTAAAAACTTCCTCCTCTTCATGAATGATGATCTCAAACATGTAATAGATTTTATTAATCATTTACTGACTAAGTTAACTGACATCTTTGCGTTTAATGAAACAAATGTACATACACGACACCTTAGCATCCACCAGAGCATCCATGATCATGTGGTCAAATCTTTGATCAATGATTGTAGCTCTAGCATCATATGCCATGAGAGGGATATCTCATAATCTGATGAAGAAAAGCTATGCTAGACTAAATCCAAGTTTGACATGCTCAACCCTAAATTATTGTCGGGTAATCGCGCTAAATTAGGTCCAAACAAGGTGAGCAACCTAAGACATGGAAATGACATAGAAAGATAACAAACTCAAGCTTGTTCTTGGGGTCCAACAAACAATGACTCTGCATCAATGTCTTCCTGTATCACCTGCTTGGACCCTCGTTTATCAGTAACAAGAAGACTGTGCCTTGTCCTTCCTTGGCACACTGAAAACTCATATATGTCAACTCAGGAGGTGAGGAGTGTCTTCCTGTGGTACTATTGCTTGACTTGATTGGCTTTGCATGAGAGAGAAGCCAATAATTCTATCCACATGCAGCCAGAGTGAGATAACCTGGCCTCATGTCTGCTTTACCTCCTGCCTTTCCCCATCCCTCACCACTGTCACTTGCATGGCCAGTTGCAGCCTCTATTTATACCCTCCTCCCTGCCTTCCCTTCCTCTCATCACTGTCCTCTGCATGACCAGGTCCTCAGCGATGAGAAGGGCTTCACCTCGTGCAAGAAGGGGAAGTAGAGGAATGGTGTCCCTGAGAGAGAGGAAGCCCCTGCAGCATCTGGAGCTCAGTAAGCTTAGGAAGCTAAAGAAGGTTGTGCCTGGTTGCAGGAGTGTTGGGTTGCAGGCATTGCTTCAGAGGACTGCTGACTATATTTCATTTCTGAAGCTGAAGGCCACTGTTCTCAAGAAGATACTGAGCCACCATGGTGTGTGACAATGTGTTCTCTTTCATCTGCAAAACAACCACCCCCATGTTAGCTGGAAAGTGAGTTTTTGTACTCTTCTGTATGTCCTACCCATTATGTTGTGTTTCTTCCTGTGAGTTTCAGCAAATCCATCATGTCCTCTTGGGTTATCATTGTGAAATGATTCAACCTGTTATTGTAGGAAAATGATCATTGAATCCTTTGCTTCGGTGGCCATGTTTCTCTTCATCTGCCATCTGCTTGAAGGTTTTAAGATGAAATTAAGCTATATGGTGTTTCATCACAAAAGTTTGAAGTGATGATACGCATCCATCCTAACTATCAATAAATAGTGTAATCTCATTCAATAACAATGTCGACAACAGTACATCATGGGATTTTTATTTACATGAAGAATTTCAAACAGAGCACCAGTTTCTCACTTTATTGTACTTACTACTAATGTTCATTATGGATGCAAAGTGACACTCCAATTTTGAATTAGGAACCAGATAAATCATGAAAAAATTTAATGAATATTAATTATGGTTAGATGTCTTCTGTAGTCTCCTCAGTTCCTTTTATGTATAAAAAACATACATCAGAATAAACATGAATATAAATTTCTCCCATGATGGATTCCATTCAGCTACATTGGTAAGAATATTGAGTATTTTCCACTAAGAGAATTGTCATATATCTGGAAATAGTTTGGATTCTATTATATGAATCTATTGTGATGTCTCTTCCAAGAATGCATGTAATATGGAGCTACTGACAGAACACTATTCACCTGCCTTGCGTCCTGCAGCTAAGACAGTCTTAAGGAATAAACCCTGATGGACTGATAGTCACATCATGTTGTAGTGTGGCCATGCAGAAAACTTAGGTGCTATAACCTAAGCAGTCAGGCATTAGAATGTTAGGAATTGATGCAGCAATAGATCAAACTCATCTTGTGTAAATCCCAAGAAAACGAGGAATCACTATCCAGATATCATCAAGATATTTTGGTGAGATAAAATAAGTTGCTGATTCAATATTGATTAACAATTTAATTTCCTTTTTTACCTTATTTAGGATCCACACATTACAACAGAATCATGAAAATGGCAATAATATGAACTAACAAAGTTATTTCATCTTTTTCTTCTCTAGTTGCTGAACAAAGTCTAAAGATAAAACTGACTGTAAAATATGCTTCAAGTCCCATCTTTCTTTTAAAGGGATTGACAGCACAATATCAACAATGGAAATTTAAGAATAAACTAAACTTGGGATCATCATAGATCATGTTCTTGGCTGCATGCCATTGATTTGACAAATGGAGCCCATCCATGTGTTGTGGTAATGCCTCCAAATGATCAAACCCATTGGTGTAAATTACCATGGACAATGTATTGACACTCTCATGACCCTTCATACATTAGTCCATCTCCAGTCTACTCACTCCACCAATCATGAAGTGTGCTCCATACCTTCATGCATTGATGAATATGATGAGGCTAAACTAAACGACATATATTATCGACTGGTGAAGACAGAACTCCAAGATTTAGATATAAACAATCATAATACTCGCCAACTAGTTAATCGGGTAAGTGGAAGAATGATATAATGGACTGCATTACGCGTGATCAGCAATCCTATCGTCTAAATCTAATTCAGAGTCAACCATCTCCAACCAATTTGCTACTTGTCTTTTTCCTCGTGATCATACCGTAAATCCATGGGAATGAATTGGAGAGAAGAAAACGATCGCTGTTCTATATCACAGTAGATCCGCTGCTCCATGTCGCACTTACTGAGTCACGAGTAAAGTCATGAACTAAGGGTGCACATCCAGGGACACCAGGATAGGTCTGGGGGCAGTGCGCTCACGAGTAAAGTCATGAACTAAGGGTGCACATCCAGGGACACCAGGATAGGTCTGGGGGCAGTGCGCTTCCACATCCTCCAGACATGACGCATGTTCAAAAAAGGTCTGTCATTCAATGATCCTAAAGACCATAGTAGTGTTATGTAACTAAATGTGTCGGCTATGAGCTATTTCAACATAACTTGGATGAACCTAGTCACATATATGTCAGATAGGAAATAAATAAATTTTAATGCTTCATCTATCACTGTAAAATTTAAAAATACATATAAATTTTACATCTGTGCAGCCATATAATAATAAATCAAATGGAAATGCACAGAGAAACTACATACACAAAATCATATTATCAAATAACCAACCAACAAAAGACATTGTTTAGCACCAAGAGAATAAGAATTAAACAATTCACCTATATCTATTATCTCTACAAATAAATTCATAAATGGAGAAAAAGATAAATGAAAAGTACTTACAGAAATCTTCAGTGAGGCAATGTTCCTTATTAGACTTATCTGCAATAATATAAGAATACAATACGTGGGGAAGGACAGCAGTATTCAAATAAAATCTGATACTGTAACGTATAGCTAGACAAGGGTGCATCCACAGCACAAGAAATGCTTATTACTCTGATGGTTAAAGACGAAAACATGAGAAGGAGAATATGGCAATGACAATGGTAAGGCATAGGTTAAGGATCCTCTTGTCCCTGCTCCAAAGATTAATTGGGTCATTTCAAGTACCATCTACACTATATTCCTTTCTCTCAAAACCACATGATAGTGATAGAAGGAACAGTTCGACATCTTGTCACCCATGTTTCTCGGATCTTGCCAATCTAACTTTGCCACCATTACATGTAAGGAGAAAAGAGGATGAACTCCCTCAAGCAGAAAGAAACAGCTTGACTTAATTTTCACTTTCCACTAGTTTTCCGATGTTCCAAAAGAAAACCTTTCTAGGTTTGTTTATCATAGCCCACAGCACAGCTTATTTCATGCAATCACAGTCACATGAACAATCACAGATCATGAAACTGGATACTAACACCACAGATATCAAAGTTTATCTGGTATAAATTGGTAGATTGTGGTGGTGGGCCTAATACACCATGTGCTTGCATGTGGAGTGTCCATTGAGCCAACAAATGAAACTAGAAGTACTTGACTATTAAATAGACAGGTAATACTAAACCAATCTTCCCACAACCAGAAATAAAGACATCTCCTACGGAAGTAAAAGCACATGTAACTTTCCCCATCTATGAGCTCATCACACGAAGTCCTCATCAACAAAAAGTAACTCAAAAGTCATAAAAAATTCATGTCAAATTCCAACTTTCCAATTTGTAACAATTAGTTCCTAAAACTTACAAAGTTGTTGCAGTCAAGTTCTATCATTAGATTTCTTGACAAAATGATATAGTGTATGATGAGGAACTATTAGAAGGATAAATAGCAATCAAAAGAACAAAAGAGCTTAATTGTATCTTGTAAGAAAAAGAAAGGAGAAACGCAAAAATCAGTTCTCTTCTCCTCCTCACTCACTGTCAAATAAACATCATCGGTGGATGTAAGACATGCAATTATACTAAGTAACTCAATATGATGTGCATGACAAGGTCCAAAAGAGGAGATCACAAGAAGTTTGCTATCTTTACAGTCAGGACATGTTAGCAGGTAGATGTTGAGAGGACAGGAATGTGATAGATCAGATCAGAGTCTCTTATTTTCTTCTTTCCAATATTCTATTTTTAAATACTAAAGAACCACAGGAACTTCATATTACTTGTGTCGATGTCATGTCCAGGTTGCACTTGCCACTCAATTAACACTTTTTTTGACACATGTCAACTATTTCAAATCCTGCTAAAATTCTCATACCATCAACACTTATTTATATAAATGTATCATGTATATGTAGGATGCTTATATCATCTTTTATAAGGCTTTAGACATGTTGGATATTGTCAATATATGTAATTTGGATTTGATTTGCTCCTTATTTTTTTGTATATGTTTTAGAATTTGTTAACATTTGCTAGCCACATAAATTGTTGCCATATTTATCATAATTTTTGTATATGATAATCATAGATCATATATATTATATAAAGCATAAAAAAATAAATAACATATGGGGAAAATATATTTATTAATCACTGGATCCCTTTTAGGCTACATCCAACTTCTATCATTTGGTGTGAAATGTATAAAAATCATACCATGTTTGTGTCTCATATCGATGTTCATACCTCATAGTTGACAAACATAGAAGCAAAAAGAGGAAATCTTCCTTCCATTTCTTTTTTTCTCCTTAGTTTTCTCATTTTAATCTTTTTTTACTCAGCATAAACATTCTTGTCATTGGTTAAAATATATGCAATCATGTGGAGTATTTTATCAAGTGTTCTTGATGAAGTGTAATAGAGAATGATAGTGAAAACTAACATCTGTGGAAGTTTATATTACTGATACTAAAAAATGGAATTTGAACTTTCAAAACCAACTAGATATTGCAGTGGTCACAATTGAGAACCACACATAAAAATCACCTATTCCAAATATAAAGCATATGTTAAAAAAGTCCATCAAAGCCATGATAATGCTATTTCGGAGGACCAACTTCAAAACCTTCTTAAGTTTCTATAATGGTTAATTTCCATTTTTTCTCCATTTTTGTTAAGTTCCTTGCATTTTTGCTCCATTTAAAAACCATGCAAGACTCAAACTCAGCCAAGCATGTCTTACTAAGATGATGTTATTAGGATTAAAAAAGTTCTTACTGCATCAAGTGTATGTGCTCTTCAGAGTGAAGACATAACTTGTGGCTTTTATTACGGACAGAATAATGGTTGGTTGTCCACTTGTTCCAAAAGCTTAAACAGTCCAACATTGTAGTGAGTTCACATGTCCAAGTCGGCAGAAGGACTAATGGGCTTTGCACATGAGAAAGGCACACACTGGAAAATTGATGAAATTTTCCTACATACTCATATTCAGTAAAGCATCAGGTGAGAGACTACTAAAAATTGGAGAAAAGAAGACTCGACAGGATCCGAGTACATTACAGTACAACGAGAAAATGATTGTTTGGTTACCACTTACAATGCTCAAAATATTAGGAATGATTCAAACATAATGAAAGAGCTGTAATAATTTTCATAGTCTTCCCAGATATATAGAAAATTGAAAGGCTGCCACCATCACCCTCTCTTAATGCAGAATTGAAACCTTGTGAACAAAATCATAGTGAAATAGCATGAGAAATCAATTAAGCACATTTTTAAATGGAATTTCAAAGAGTATTACTACCATTCTTACTGTCAGCATTGTTGTAATTGCTCACTTGTGATTTTGAGATAAACAGTGCTCTCCATAGCCAAACTCGCCTCACCCTCTCTACTTCTATACAAATCCATCTCAGTCAAAGTCAGAGTGGTGCCCCATAATTTCATCAGCTAAAATTGCAACTAGGATGAAATTCTTACCTATTCGGTGTGCAATTAGATAAGGAAAAGTGAGGATCCAAATCTGGCTTAAATCACCCAATCTGACTTCCTTGTAACAAAAAAATCTTGATCCATGCTTAAATCTATCACTGATAAAACCTTCTATCTAGTAACTTTATCCAATAGAATTGACCCAAGAATTTCAATTTCTGTAAATTTTCATAACATCTACACCAATAAATTATTGTTAACCAGAATTGGTGCTTGTCACCTGTTATTTATAAAGACTTATTTATTATCAGCTACTAGCCTAATAGTCCATATCAGACAGATAAAATCTTAAATTAACAAACATTTTCTTTTACACACAATGAATATTACCCTTGCCAATCCATATATAAAGCAATTATCGATCAAGTAAATATATCAGAATTATAGTCAAGTTAGCAAAACAGCATTCAACAAATTCATCAATCTAAATGATCTTAGATGTCAATGAAACAAGAACACCAATCCTAAATAACCACCACTGATTCACATGCTAGTATAGGCATAAAAAGAGTATTGTCTACATACAGCACAATGATAAAGTTTACAAATAAAGTTTAGTATTTAGTTTGCAGATACAGCAACAAGAAGGGCACAAACACAAACAAGACCAGATGATACAACAGAATCTCACCAAGTAACCATTAGTAAGAAATATATACTCACCAGTGCTCATCATCAGTAACAGGTGCCTGCAGTGTCATTTTGAAATTAGCCACTGCAAATGCACTACAGATATCCCTTTGTCTGTACACCGTAAAGAAGCAATCTTACCATCTCAGCACACTGCATCTTATTAAATAAACCCAATAATAAAAAAAGTCAGAACTTACAGAAAGAATAATGTGATAAAGGGTATTTATTATTCATGGATAATTTATATCTGACCAACCTTGAATTCCTCTGATAACTCCGAAAAGTAGATTAATACCTCACTTTTCTCATTCCGTCGATTTCATACCGAATCTCGCAGGGCAGTCCATTCTGTTTGTTATGACAATAGCTACGATCTAATCCCAAAGAAAAAGAGAGAGAAATATAATCCAAACCCATCAAAATACAACCTTTTCGATCATTCAAAACTATGCAGCCTTCTCTGAAAGCATCGAAATCACGTTTCGACAACGAATGCCAGAAGGGAAGAAGAGAAAAATCAAACCTCTGGAGGAAGGAGAGGGGGCAGCAGACGAAGGCAACGAATCAGGGGGCAGCGGGTCGAGGACAGCAGCGTAAATGTAGCAATCGGACGCGGGATAATCCACTACAACCTGGGCGAAACCCCTTCTCCTTCGCCGCTTCGTAGGCTTCCTTCGGATTCTAAGCTTCCGGTTCATTCCTTCCTCTTTACCGAACTACTACTCTTCTTCGGTTCTTCCTCGCGATCTCTGGAACCCTAGATTGGGAGAACGGGTTCGAGCAGCACAGAAGAGGAGAGAAGTAGCGAAGGCTCTCCTTCCACGAACGGATTCGGAGAAACCCGTATATATATAAATAAATAAATATATATATATATATATATATTAATGATTTTGATCATCAACCCTTATATTTTATGATTTAATCATATATAAAATAATCCTTATATTTTTAAAAATATAATATATAAGATTTAAATTAACAAATATTAGAATTGACTCATAATATATCATTAATATAATAACATATATAATTTAAGTTTTAAAAAAAATTGAGACTTCCATCAATAACGATACGAGACATACGTGTAAGTGATCACTAGTAATAACACTGAGTTACTATCGCCTGGGCATCATACACACAACCTCTCATATGGCGAGTTTAGAAGCTTCTAATCTTACCTTAAGTGAATGTATATCAACTAGTTCGATGCTAAGCACGCAGTGATCTGATCTCTCTTCTTCGTCCCTTTTTGTGCCCTCGCTAGCTATGCTAATGACATAGTGCTCTAGGTCTCTCTCACATTTACCTTCGATCTCTCCTACCTTTATCTCTTCACAAGAAAGATAACTTATATATATTTAGTCATATGGAACAATGATTAATCTGTACGTTTGGAAGCATATTTGTGCGTTGAGGGCCAATGCATAATTCACTGGATAATTTATTATTATTATATTTAATGTAGATACTGTATTATAAATACTCAAACATTAATAATATCATAGAAAAGTATTAATATTTCCACATTTATGAGATGTTAATGAATTTTTTAAATATCTTAAAATACCCTATGAGATATGATATTCTTTAAAACTATAGGATTACCACTATATAATAAAATTTCTAATCATCATTTCTTATCTCATCATTTTGATTCACCATCTCTACTCATTTATTTTACATTGTAAAATTATTTTATATTTATTTATATAATATAATTTTATCTATCATACATATGGACCATACAAAATCTTTTGTAAGATTATACACATTTATTGGTTTATTTTAATTATTTAAATAAAATAAAAATATATATTTATTATTTTAATAAATATTAATATTAAATGGATAAATTTGTCACATAAAGTTAATGGATTTTTGAAATATGTTTTTTTCGAACAATATTTACATTAATACATATTTAAAATATATTTTTATCTATTATTTATCAATACTTAAAAGTATTCTACAACTGTACATTCAGTTAAACTGCTTTCATCAAAATACACTCAAATCTTTATAACCCATTCAAAATCATAACATTATTTATTTTGAATTTATTTTTGTCAAAAGAAAGATGGTATTATGATATAAAGCACAAATTATAATGGCCAAAGATGGACTACAAAACTTGAGCCTGTTTACAAATTAAGACTCATTTTTTTATAAAGAACAACTAATAGAAAATGAAAACAGAAACTTAAATATTATCATCCATAGTGTTAAATATTAACACTAAGTTTATTTTATTTCTTGTGTTGATTTATGGGTTCTGACTAATCCAGAATAGTAAAATCACATATATGACCCTCCAAAGTTAGTGATTTTTCTATTTATTCATGTAAATTGTTAAAATAAAATTTGTATTAAATAAAATTTGTTAAAATTAACTACGATTAGAAGTGGTTAACTTGAGTTTTGTGGTGTGTGTGTATATATATATTTATATATGTGTGTGTGTATATATATGTATATATATATGTATATACCTATATATATACATATATATATATATATATATATATATACATACATATATATATATATATACATACATATATATATATATATATATATATATATATACATATACATGTATACTTGTATGTATGTATGTATGTATATACATACATACATGTATACATACATACATGCATATAATATATATAAATGATTGAATGAGTAGCACATAAAATTGATCCATTTAGGGATTTTCTTTCTTCTTGTTATTGTTGCCTAAATCATGTGCTAAAGACATGGAAAATGAGTAATTATTGAGTTAGCAGAATACAATTGGTTAGAAGAGGATTCATTGAATCAAAAATTTAATATAGATTGATTGAAGACATCATAACTCCCAAGACCAAGACTTTGTATCTGCACAAAAAACGACACATGTAGCTGCAATCAAATCAAAGACAATTAGTTTAAACATTCTTCAGCTATCCTTTTCTAAATATTTCTGAGTATTGATCAATGCCACACTTCATAGAATTGTCTTGTTTCCTCCAATCATATCTCATGATAGTTGTAGACATGACACTGACATTTCTACCACTTCTCTGACTCACAATCAGCAACTATGACATTTTTGTATTCTCTTGAAAAGGTCTTAAAAGTATCATCTGTTTGTCAACATAGTGATTCATAATGATGGAGGTGTTTTAGGTGTAAAGAATGAAGCTAATTTGTGTAGAGACAACAAAGTTTTATCTCAACATGGCCCCCCCAATCAGTATTACTCATAGTATCATAAAATGATTCAAGCAATCCAAGTCTTGAAGACAACTAAAATGGATCATTTCTTGAACAAAAAACTCCATTGATCAAACTGTCCTTTCTTTGTAGCTGTTCTGTTCACAGGGCAGCAGTGTTTCTCACATTTGTTTTTAGGAACACAGATCTCATATATATATGATCAAATAAATAAAATATGTTTGACCAAATAAAAGAGTGTGTGATTCAGTGAGTACTTATACTGTTGAAATATTAAATTAAACTTTATGATTAGATAAAAATATGATTTATGATTAAAAGTCTTAGTTTTAATTGCAATTAAACTCTTGGCTTCACTCTTATATAAACAGGGGGTAATGTAATGAATTGATTATTCAAGAGAGAAAAAGATAAATAAAGATATTAATGTATAAATAAGAGAGGTTGATAGACATTAGGTTTGAGATATTAAGAGATTGTAAGTGATTAGTATGAATAAAAAATCTTAGTTATCAGTGTCTTATATCTTCTCCTCCGTCATCCCTTCTATATGTTTTGTTGAAGCCCATCCGATATTTCCGTAAATTTGTTCAAACATGTACACAATGTAAAATTGTTCAATCTAATGAGATTTTTATGCTGGCATTGTTTATTGTGCTAATTAAACAGGATGAGTTCTCCTTCATGGGCCAAGACAAGAGCTAAGTTGTCTCCTTGTTAGGATGATACGATATGCCAAGCTTAAGTATCCTACTGCTAGTAGGGCTCTGCTCTACATATGGCTCAGTTGCTACTTGTATGAGCTAAGAGAAACTTGCAGACAATCAAATTGCATACAAGATTAACCATCAAAGACTACTGTTAACACTTCTCTTAAAGAAAGGAAGACTGGTAGATGAAGTTACTTAATTCATACCCGTAGTAATCCATCATTTGTTTAGAGTAATGTCTCTTCAAATACCAAATACAAAGCATCATAATAAGATGCCTCCTCTGTTTCTGAGTGATTTGGTTTGTCAGGTGGTAAAGATGTTGTGAAGTGAGAGGCTGAGTTGGGTCCATGAAAGAGACTGAAGGTGCAAGAAATATTATTTGAAATATGTGTGAAAGAAATAATAAATTTAAAAAAATTATACATGCAAAATTCACTTTTGTATTTTCAAAGCTTGAAACATTATTTAATATTTTTAATGTAAAACACTATCCTAGTGATGATTATCTAATTCACTTGTCCTAAGTGGAAGGTTTGAAATCTCATTATATATATTTTCATCTAAAACATTGATCTTGTGATTATATAATAGACCTAATTATCAATTTTTAACAAATCTAAACCTCATCCGATAAATTTCACACCTAGAACATACCTTGGTGTTAGAGTGGTATAACATGTCAATTAGCCTAGTAGATAAAGATTTCAAGTCATTGATAGCATGATCTTTAAATCCCTGTAAAACAATAAAATAAAAACCATTGTTAAAAAGAAAAAACAAGGAAAATTTTGTTTTGTATACCTTAGAAAAGCAACGCATCTCCTCCTCAGCTTTAAAAGCCATTAAAGCCTCTGTATCTCCTTCCAACCATCCTACCTTCATTGCCCATTTGATTTGGATCATTTTGGTCTTCTCCTCTCCTCCTTTTCCTTCTCTGTATTCCACCTATGCTTACCAGCGAATAGGTGGTGTGTGAGGCTCTCTCTTCTTTGGCCTGCAGGGTAACAGAGGAGAAAGAATGAGACAGTTGTACGCAAAAAGTAGAAACCTCAAGCGCTTCCTCTCTGTAGCTATCGGAAAGAGGAGGAACAGCAGCGGAGAAGATGATAACACCGAGGATAAAGCCTTCTCTGTTAAACAGATCAACGAGATGGAGATTTCACATCTGAGACCGAGCTGGAGATGCTTCTCTTACGAAGAAATCGTCAAAGCAACCGATGGCTTCCACAAAGGTCTGTTCTTTCTGGGATTCGAGCGCAGTTTCTTTGGGATTTGGTCCTCAAAATCTGGTCTTGGTGGATTCTGGATCGGTGCAGACAATTTAGTGGGCACGGGTGGCTACGCGGAGGTGTACAGGGGAGTGACGGAGGACGGCGGAGCGATCGCGGTGAAGAGGCTGACCAGAGCTTCCTCGGACGAGCAGAGGGAGAAGGACTTCTTGACGGAGCTCGGAGCTGTCGGCCACGTTCGGCATCCCAACGTCTCCGCTCTCCTCGGCTGCTGCGTCGACGGCGGCCTCCATTTGGTCTTCGAATTCTACTCTCGCGGCTCCGTCTCCTCCAATCTCCACGGTAGAACCATCGACACTCAATCAAGTGCAGCGAAGCCCACTCAAAACTTGATCTTTTCTGTGTTGCAGATGCGAATTCCCCGCCGATAGCTTGGAAGCTGCGCTTCAACATCGCGGTGGGCACCGCCCGGGGGCTGCACTACCTGCACAAGCAGTGCCGGAGAAGGATCATCCACAGGGACATCAAGGCCTCCAACATACTCCTCACAGAAAGCTTCGAAGCACAGGTGAAGTAGCTCCTCCACTGTGAGTTCCTGCGGAAATGGAATCCACTTATCTCCATGACTGTATCTCAGATCTCCGATTTCGGCCTTGCGAGGTGGCTTCCATCCGAGTGGACTCACCGCGCCGTCGCACCGATCGAAGGAACCTTTGGGTATGAGCATTACACCATCATCATCACTCTCAGAACCGAAGACACCGCCAGCAGCAGCAGGTAACGGAGCTTGTGACGTCGACAGGTGCTTGGCGCCGGAGTACTTCATGCACGGGATCGTGGACGAGAAGACCGACGTCTTCGCGTTTGGTGTCTTCCTGCTGGAGATCGTAACAGGGAGGAAGCCTGTGGATGGCTGTCACAGGAACTTGCTTTGCTGGATAAACGTAGACATTCCTCACGATTCCTTTCCTGATGTTGCAACTCAATAGTAATCCTTCCACTGACATCTTTCCAGGCTCGATCGTACCTAAATAATGGGATCATAGATAAGCTGGTCGATCCAAGATTAGGGGAGGAGTATGACATGGGGCAGCTCAAAAGACTCACCTTTGCGGCTTCTCTCTGTACCAGACCAACAGCAACATTGCGCCCTTCCATGACTGAGGTAATTTGCTGTTAGAATTCAGCTGCCAATTGCCTTCTGCAGTCAGTGTCTTGTGAAGCAGAGATGATAATGACCAAGTACGATAAGAGTTTAAGCATTGACAGGAATTATAATGCCGAGCAAACATTAAGGAAACTGTAAATTATGCTGCTTTTGGATGCCGCAAACCTTTCTGTTGTCTTCTATGGCCTAAAATTCTGCATTGTTGACGTTAAACTTGCAGAAAACACTTGTGTCAGCAGTGAGATCAGTTAGTAATACATTGTTTTCATGTGCAGAATTCTTAGTATTTTATTTGGGTCTTCCATGATGAATAGAACAGGCTAGGAGAAAGAAATGAGCCTTCACTATTCTGTAGGTTGGCATATCTACATATTTATACCAGGGTTTAGTCCCAATTTGGAAGGAAAAATGACTTGAATGGACTTGTAAGAACTTGAATGAACTTGATCTTTTCTGACACACAGTTCAGCATTTAGGTTGTCATGTTAGAGAGAGAAGGATCTCTCAGTCCTTCGTCATGACTCATGTTATGATAGAATAGTTCTTATGGACACTGCTACTACTGAACTAGAACATGCTAACACAATGCATACATCGATCGATGTGGCCAAATACTAGTAGTAATGTTCATTATTCCTAAAATTATTTTGATGTCTACAGGTTGTGGAATTACTAGAGGGCGGCGAGATCACTCAAGAACAATGGAAGATGCTGGAGGAGGAAGAAGAAGAGTTTTGGGGGTTCGATGACCTTGACGACGATGACAACAGATGCAGTACTCCCTCAACATCTTCAACTGGCAACTCTCAGCCACAGTTTGTGTAGATGATCTTGATTGTCTTGGGATGAGAAGTATAGTATAATGTATACAACCAATAGATAGCATGCTGGTATATGTTGATATGGTAGGTCATTGCCGTCTCAACCAAACTATTTCCCTTGATCTCAAGATGTGGCACACGGTAGGGAAGCAAGCACATGCACAGCAGTTGGGAGAAGCAATCAAAGCCATCCAAGCTTGAATCGAAATCATCGAAGGTCAGGAGAACCTGAAAAAGGTACCGTCTTGGGCGGCACTCACGACGGCGATCGTCCCTGAAGTACCCGGCGAGAACCCCGAAGCCTTCGCATCCGCCTTCCTCGAACTGCTTCGGCGGCACCACGGAAGACTTCACGGGCAAAAGAGCCGCGGGCCTGCGAGGCCGTCCAGTCACGGGCACAAGTGGGCCCTCCTTGTCAATTTATGTTCTACGACAACTACGCCAATAATAATTATCTACCTTACTATTTATTGGATATTATTATGTGGGTCCCACACGTTATTGGAATTAGTTCTTCGGGTAAAACGGGGGGTCACGTACGTCGTGGGTATTCGTGGTAACGGGTTACCCGTTGCCGTGCGCACTTGCAAGTCACCTGCAGTCTAACCGTCTCTCTACTAGTGGATCTCGGCTCCCTCTGTCCCGGCCTCGCCGTCCTCCATGGCGTCGCTACTTAGATCGGCCGGGGTGGGCGGACCGGGCGGTAATATCCTGCGCATCCGGTGCCGCTCCCCGCCGTCTCTCCGTCCTACTCTTCCTCCTCCCGTTCGGATCGGAAGCCCTAGGAAGCGCGTCCTTTTCTTCCGCCTCATCCTCTGATTACTCCTCGGACGGAGACCTCGGTTCTTGCTCTGGTTTGTTTCTTTTCGTTCTGATGTTGGCTGCTTTAAAAGTAAGGATAGTTTTCTACGGAAGAGTGCCAATTGAGTTCCTCGATACTTTGGAGCTCATAGCGTGAAGTTCGATTAGGGTATCTGGAAAGAGAGAAGAATGTAGGGTGTATTAACCAAGTATGAATCTACCTATCAATGACACCTCGGCTTAGTCCTACATCCATGTAGGAGGGATAGAATGGGTTGATAATCATTAACCTAGGTTTTAGCATTTTGGATCATTGTTTCAAGCCTATTAAGTTAATGGGTCACGTATATTATCGAGCCTGGTTGTGACATACACGGTACTAAGATTGGAATGGCATTCTTAATTTTTTCAGTGACTGTCTCTCACCGATAGCTTACATAAACAAGTGTCTATATTATGAAATTTTGAGGCCATGAAAGATCTGAATCAACTGTTATCCTCTAACTCAATGTGGGATACTGAGGTGTAAAGAAAGACTTTTGTTTTTATAGAAGTCTCAACTGCTCCAGAACGATGATTTGTTGATGTTTCGGTCTAATTTTGCAGGTGATGAGGAGGCCTTTGATGCACCTAAAGCGCTTCATAAAATGAATAAAGTAAATTCATGATTATGTATATCCCATCCAAAGTTGATTTTTGTAGCTTTTATTGTCTTTTGTTTTGTATCCATGGTTTTGGTGTTGGTTTGTTATTATGTTTGTTTTTTATGTGCTTTATTTGCTTTGTCACATTTTGTGTCCATGACATTGTATAAGTCATTATTTTCTGTTGTTTTATGTGCGTGGATTTCTGTAAGAAATGAAATTAGCAAAATCTTTGATTTGTCATTTTCATCACTCAACTATATTATGGATGGGTTTGCTTTTAAATTATTAGTGGTGTTATATTGTAATAGGCTTCTAATGTTATTTTTTATGATATCAACTGAGATACATATGAAGCTAGAGTTTTTGGATGATTTCTTTTTAATCCAGGAATCTCTTGTTAAATTAAGCTGCAAGATTTGAAAAGGAATTCTCTTCCTATATGATCAGGAAGGAAAGAAACCAGGGTTACTGGGTGACTGCATCGAGGAATTGAAAGCCATAGTTCAACTAAGTGAATCCAAACTCACTATTGAGAGAAGTTGCTAATGCAGGAGACTTTCTCGAGGTAGTTGAATTCTTTTTCCATTTCCTTTTGTTTTATTAATTAGAGACTCTGCAGCATCTTAGGAATCTTCTTTTGACATAAAGATTCTACAATCATAGGTTTTAAGTGTAACATTTGTATCTCAAAGTTGATCTTTTCAGTTTTCTAAGAAATGCATGCAGGTTTTCTTTGAGTGTGACTAATCAAGCTAGTGAATGCGAATACTTCATATAAGCATTTTGAACAGAGTGGACACGGCTGTAGAAGCATGTCATCTTTTGATGGTCAGATTTGTTGAACTTAATGGGTCTTTCGAAATTTATTTCATGGATCTTATTTCTCCAGGAACTGAGTGTGTTTTTAAGCCTCGCCTACTGTGTGGTCCATTATGAAATTGAACATCATTGTCACAAACTTCTTTGCCATGATTTAACCAATAAAGCACGTTTTAAAAAAATCTATTTTTACCCTTTGAAACTGTTATGTTAGTCATTCTTAACCAGTGAAGTCTCTTTCATAATAAGAACGCCACTAGACTCAAAACCTATTAAGCCCTAGATAGCACTATGAAAATACACTTGTAGCCTGGGATTTCAATCATACACCAACTTCTTGTGGAATTGAAAACATTCCATTGAACACAATGACTTTTGCAAACAAAGTGTCATCTCTTTTAACATTTGTGTTTTTCACCATATTTTGGTTGATGCCTGCTTCTTGTTGAATCTTTTATAAAAACTATCATTAGCTCCTTTACAAACGTGTGTTGATGTAAGAATTTTGGGACTGTATACAATGATCTGGGAAGGAATCGCTGAGCATGTAATTTTACTAGATGCTTCTTTATATATTCTCACTATTATGTCGGGATGGATTTATAAATAGGAGGATGCCTTTATAGGAAGTTGTTGTGTTTATATTAATTTTCAAGAGAAAGCATGGATATTCGCTGAGACATCTTTCTACTAGTATACAAATTCTTATGTTTTGTTGGAAGTTTCTTTAGTCAACATGCAGATTCATCTGTCAAGATTTTGGATATTATATTATTATGCTATAATGCAGCTAAGTCTCTTTTTTTTTGCAGGTTTTCAATAGGAAATTTTTTCTAGAAAAAGCCAGGACAATAGTAGGAGAGTGCACTTGAAGTCAAGGGATAATGTTCAAGACAGCCCTAAGTTTGAAAAGGTTCTTTCACCAAGAAGATTAGCTGGAGCTGAGACTTCAAAGGTCTCATTAACAGCCTATGAGAGAGATAAAGTTGTTTTAGGAACAAACCACAATTCAAGCAGAAGCTGATTGAGCCTCTTCCTAGTGCTATGTACCACAGGAGGAAAGCTAAGGTAAGAAGATGAAGGGGACGAGGGCCAAAATGACAGGCTATTGGGAGCTTCATCACTGTATGTACTGTGTCATGATGCAGAATTGTACAATTAGATTATTAATTTTTATGCATCAATTATTTGCACGTCCATCTTAATTTGGCTAAAAAAACTTTAGCTTATGTCCACAAAAATGTGCTGCTGTCTTTCTTCTATTTTTGACACCATTTATTATGTTTCCTGATTGTATAAGGAAAGTTTTAAGTTTCACTTGCTGGAATTGATACATTTCTGCTGCCCAGGGTCTATAGTATCCTTCTGTTAAATACCTGCAGTCTTCTTGTACCATTTTCTTAATAGAACTGTTAGTTTGTTCCCTAATTCTTTCATTTTATGAACTTCATTTTTGTACTGATGCATATTAACTTGAATACCAACCCTTGTTATAACAATTTCTCAGTTTTAGCTAGTATTCGTTTTTGCTGCTGCTGTTGGCATATGCACAAACATGCTATGCCCTTGCATTCTGGTTCATATGTATTGTTTAATATCATTTTCAAGATCTGGTGGTTTGTAAATCTATTTTGGAAAAAAAAAAAGAAAATAGAACATAGAAAGTTTTTATGAAAGTTTCTTGTGTATCCAAAATGCTTGTATCCAGTCCAGCTGAAGGCATCACATAGCTAAAATGATGATCAGAGAACCAAGAGTATCATAAATATAACCTAGAATTCAGCACACATAGTGCCGACATAGGCTTTTCAATGAGGTGTTCTTGATATGCAGCAGGACCAATTTGGTATCTACAAGTAAATATGGAAAAAACAGCAAAATAAAAGAGGAGCTTTTAGCAACAAAAAAGCTTTTGTCGCTAAAATTAGCACTTAAGCAAGAAAAAAGGTTTGGTCATTGCTAAAATCTTTTTTCTGATGAATTCTAACTTTTTGTGTTATTTATTTGCCGAAGGTCAATGTCATTATAGTTTGCAACTAAAATTGAGGTTATAATTTTGTCATGCAGATAGTTGTTTTCTCTCGGGGGATCAGATCAAACTAAAATGTTAGCTCCCTGTATGCATGCCTGATGGAATAATATGTGGTATGAGAAGTTATTCATATCCATTTTCTTTTACAATATAAATAATTTGTACTAATATTTTTGTTGAGACCAGCAAGTTCTGGCCAAGAAAAATTCAACCTCAAGACCAAGGAAGAGAAGAGGTTGCTTTTGAAGCCTGATCAATAAATAATGTGAGGTTCAATGTCAAATTCTCTCATTCCTCCAATTAACTGACATCTCGATCAGCAGCCTGCACCAGAGCAAGTGTTGAACCCAGCTGAACTCTTGGAATGCCAATCACAAAGACCAGATGCATGAAAGGCTGGAACAAGACCAGATGCCAATCAGAAAGAAGATCAGAGAGCCATTGAAAATTCTGCAAGTTTCTCTGTGGATCAGATCTCGGCCTCATAATCAGACTCTTCTATTGGCCTAGTCATTGATTCCCCAAATTAGTTTCAAGAAGTTTTCAGCTCGAGTTTTTGCAAAGATGGTACCCAAGTTTTTCACTCAGGTAATTCTCTACAAAAGCAATCTGCAGATTCCTGATGTTGCTTGAAATCTCTGGCTTTGAGCAGCCACCCTGAATCAGAATTTGGATGCAGAAAAATCTGATGGCCTCTTATCTGTTCCACAGGCAATGCCTAATGTCAACTGAATCTCACTCTCATCATCAAGCCATGAGTTATGTGGGCATTTAAGCTTGCTGCTGTTATCCTTCAGCTGTTTCTTAAACATGAGAGCTTGATCTTGGATGGTCCATGCTTCTGTGAAAGTAAATTCTTCAGCAGGCTGTTCAAGATCGAGACCTTTGCTCACTCTACGAGGATCTTCATAGCGGGTCATCAGTTCCTTTGCACTCCGACCTGACCAGTTACCAGATGGAAGCATGTATCTGCAATCAGAATTAATGTGATCTGTGAACTGATGTGCATCACTAACACAAGAAGCATGGCAAGTCTCTGAGGTAGATAAACTGATCCAATCTGCTGTGCTTGTATCAGAATTCGGCTTTCTTGAAGTTGCATTGCTGTGGGATTGGAGCTCAAACTTGCTGCTTCCAAGCTCAGCCATAATCATCTTCTGAACTCGATATAGCCGATGAAGTTCATTTATCTGAAACAAATTACTATGAGGAATCTGATCACTTGTAGTCATTTGATCAGATGAAGCTGCAGCTTGGACAATAGCTTACCTGATGTCTGAAGATCTCTTGATGCTTCATCATGGTATTCCTTACATAGTCCCTATTGTAATGCTCAAGAAATTCCTCCATGAATGAGCAAAGCTGCTTCAGACAACACCAGAGGCCTGCCTTCAGCAATATATTGATGTAGATTCTGTGGCCACTACATTACAGCAGTTCTTGAACACAGATGCCATGCAGTTTTGATCCCATTTCTGAAACAGAAACACTATGCCATCTATCAAATCTTGAATATGATAGGCAAAAGATTTCATGCATGCATGGCAGAAAGAGTCCAAGTAAGACTTTACCAAATATGATTTAAAAAGAAGAAAAGAAAAGAAATCTTAAATTTAGAGAAAGCTGTGTATTCCATGGCATACATTCTAAGAAAAAAAAAAAGAAGAAAAAGAGAGAGCTGTCTACAAACACACAAGCAAGCATGAGATTTATGGCATATAATCTTATTATGTTACCTTCCTAGAAACCATGTTGTTATGCAGAATTCTGCTTCACAAGATAGCAAGAGAGAAATTTTCTAGATGAATTAAGAATTTGTTTTTGTTCATTTTACAAAAAGGATCACTCTTCTTTAAGCATTTCTCAAAATACTAATACAAGATTTGAGTGGAATTGAAATTTCAACTGCATTTGGTCACATCTATACAAGATTCCTAGAACAATGATACAAGCTGCACATGATTCCATGAGCTGATTGAACCATAAATGCCCCATGCTCACCTGAATATGAAGAAAAATAGCAAACTGAAAGAGTCATAGTAACAGAAGCAAGAACTTTGCACTGGAAATTACCATCTAAATCATATTCTTGGCATTGTCAAAGTTCTAAGTCATAATATATGTAGATCTCTATCCTAAAGAAAACAAGAGCAAAAGAGGGTAAATTTTACATACTGTGAAATGGATATTGTACCACAGAATCACACTCTTCTAATTACTGGAGATGCAACAGGTACAAGAAATCACCAATATACTTTAATGGCATTCATAGCTGAATGATCTGCATGGGTTTTAAGTGATTACCTAACTAAACAAGTGAAAGGAACTGTGCTTCATTTTTCTGTGCATCATAGATTAATGTAAACAATTAAACTGAAGACAATTGGATGATGTGCATGTCCAAATTGTTGAAGCCTCTGCACTTGTTTCAGAAGATGGAATTATGGGATTTATATGGACACCAGGAGAAATTTTTGCAACATGCACTCATAGCTATGTCAATTTTGAACTATACTGCATGCTCCATTACAGGTAGAGGCCCCCACTGCAGTAATGCAGACAACAGCTTGCTACTTAATATGATCATTGTATTGTCATGATGGGATCCACACACATAAATCTCTGCTGCAGATCTCAGTACCATGCCTCACAGTGGAGCAGTAGTAAACAACCATGAACATCTGTGTGTTACCACCATGAAGGACACAGGAAAAAAGTAACGAAGATTGAAACAAATCAGACATTAAATTCTTTTTTCAGAACAGAACAGCTCAAGTTTCTACAGATCTGACACAAACAATAGGGAACAAGAGAGAGATCTGAATTCCTGAATGAGCTGAAGGATTGAAAAAAGAGAAGAGAAAGAAACATCAGAGATATTGGAGACTACATACTGTTTAATCTTCATCATCTTGGGTTTTTATATGAATCTTAAAGAGAAATAGGTGAACGGCAACAGAACAGTAGAAGAAGGATGGAAGACACACCCTGCAACAGCATCAGCATAGAAATCTGAACCTTGCAGATACCCATATGCATAGAAAGCATTTATAGAGAAGCCAGTGAGGAACAAATCTCTGATGAGCAGAAACAGAGGTAAGTATCAAAAATCATGTGTAGAAAACATTATTCATCACCTGAAGGCTTTGACTCCACTGGTTTTTCCATCTGTTGCTCTCATGAACAAAGTAAAAACACCAGAATCATCTTCCCCTTCGGTAGCTCAGAGAAACAAGAAGGTTGTCAACACACGGAGAAAGCTTGAGAGGCTGTGGATGGGAGGCAAGGTGAAGAAGTATTTAGTGAGATCAGATATGGTACTATGTTGTAGCCACAGGAGGACCAACACAGTTTGCAGATCAGAACAAGATATAGAAACAAGTCTCACTCCTTACAAGACATGAAAGATACCTATATTGCTCTGTTAGGCTGATACTCCCCCTAGTCTTTAGCTTCTCTCTCTCTCTCTCTCTCTCTCTCTCTCTCTCTCTCTCTCTCCCTCTCTCTCAATAAAACCAACCTTTGTCCATGGCTTTTGTCCTTTTAGAAGCCTAAAAATGTTCATCCTCCCATCATTCCTAGTCCTTGGTCCCAAACCTTTGAGTTCATTTTACATTTTCTTTGTGGAGATTCACTTCCTGGGTGAGAAAAGTTTTGCTTTCATCAGTTAGCCAATGAATGAAGCTGTAAGTACTAGAAAAAGTGTTGGATAATCTGAGGATAAGAACACAAGAGCTGCAAAGATGTGTGATGATGATGTAGCACAAACAGACAAGTGGGTCAATAATAGACATATCAGATAATCTAACACAAACATGACCCAATGTTTCATCTTTCTGTCATTTTTCTCACAACATCATGGTCATTCTTGATTCGAGTAAGGGTGAAAGTGGCTTAGGTAGATAACACCTGATCACATATAGTACTGAAGCTTACATGGATGCAGACATGATTTCATTTCTAAACCATATATGGATGTAGTACATTTCAAACCAACTCCTCTAAACCATATATTTCATTTCTCTTCCCACAGAGAAGCATTCTTTGACTCATCTCCAGTACAGGAAATCTTATCTTGGAAAGAGTGCTCAAGTTTGAACCTTAGTTTTCCTGCTTTCTCTCCAAAAAGAAGGTAGATTCCTGTCACAGAACAACTGTCATAACACCTCCTTCCATCTCTCTCTCCTATGTAAACAAAGTCAACATTAAGTAAGAAACATCTTTTGTCCTTACCCCACCTGTTAGACTCCAAGCATTGAAAGGAGAGTCAGATGGATCCCAAAAATAAAAAATGCAATTGAGCTTCCCCAAGAGAAAAGATTAAAATAAAACAAAGCTAGACAACAACAACAACAGCATCATCATGAGGAAATTGGTGCCCATCAGTTTCCTCCACAGGCCAACTCAAGCAAATCTATCCTCTTACACCCTACAAGAAATCCAAAATCTTTGACTAAGTTCTCATCCAGTGAAGGTGGCAACAGCAACAACAACTGGATAACATGAGTCAGGGGGGATGGCTTCTTAGCTTAATGAATCCCCCCATCTCTGCCTGCTCCAATGTTGCAGAAGCTCCACTCACTCTGCCATGGCCAGATGTCCTGCTCTTCTGCTGCTCTGATTGGTCTTCCATTCTTGTTCTCCAAAATCTTAGCTAATTTATTACATGTTTTGGTAACATGATATGGGCTGCAAAGGAAGTAGATAGATAGGAATCAGAGTCTTGTTCTGAGGTTTTCTCTGTAAGAGAGTTGTGAGGTTTATTAGGATTCCTACTATGGAACTGGAAAGGCTGCTGTGATAGTAAGAATCTACACTCAATCTCTCTCCAGTGTGTGACTTCACCCTATGGCATGCAGTCCTTCCATAGCCAACAAAAACTATGTAATATAAATTGGAAGCTTAAATATGTGGAATTTAAATAAACCAGAACATTTATTGGTTGGTCAACATAAAATAAAAATGAAAAATATCCAATATATGAACTCAAATTAAATAAGGAAAATTATGCAACAGTCCAATAATTTAAGATTCATTCATTCTCTCTCTCTCTCTCTGAGATATTATATTGAACTTGAAATATTACCAGCTCATTAGAAGCTTATACTAATAGGGTGTAGGATTCCATTCTATGGCATGAAGTGCATCCAGAGTATAAAAATGATTATGTAACATAATTTAAATGTTTAAATATGTGGAACTTAAATTAACTAAACAGTTATTGGTTGGTCAACATAAAATTCAAAAAAAAAAAAAATCAACATGTGAATATCATATTAAATAAGGGTAAAATATGCAAAAGACCAACTCTAATTACATATATTATTTTGAACTTCAAACATGCCAACTCATTAGAAGGGTATACTAATCATGAAACACAACTTCAATTTAAAACATGTATAATGTAGCTCGAGAATCCATATTTTTTAATGTGAGAAGAAATTTTAAGAAATCGATTTAAAATATATGATTTATCAGATATATAAAATATTAGTTTGATGATAATATATCAAACTTACTTATTAGTATATTGAGAGTTGAAAATCTCATGATATTTTGAAGATGTTAGATAGATCTTGTCAAATAATCAAAAGGTCAATATGAACTAAAAAATTTGAAACTTTGATTATTTAACCTCGAAACAAATGACATATATATATATATATATATATATATAAAGAGAGAGAGAGAGAGAGAGAGAGAGAGAGAGAGAGTTTTTATATTTTTTATTATTTTAAAAAGTAGGATTGTGTAGCATCAGAAAGCTCTAAATTTTATGCATTGATTATTATTAGGGAGGTAGATGAGAAAAATCAAAAATAAAAAAATTCATCAGAGATCAATAAAGAAAGAAGATATTATAAATGATGCTTTAATGTGGTTCAACAACTCTGCTACATGAGAAAAAGCAAAATTTTCAGTATATGTGATCAATTATAAGATCCTTAATTTACTTATACTCAAGTTAACTCCCCATTGTATATCATTACAGTGGATGATTTTTTTGGCATTATCATACACTGAAGAGATTTTTTTATATTTTTATTATTTTAAAAAAGTAGGATTGTGCAGCATCACAAAGCTCTAAATTTTATGCATTGATTATTATTTGGAAGGAAGATGAGAAAAAAATTAGAAATACAAATAATCCATCAGAGATCATCAAACAAAGAATATTTCAGAAACAATGCTTTAAAGTTGTTCGACAACTCCTACCTATCTCTACGAGAAAAATTAAATTTTTTAATATATGAGATCAATTATAAAGTCTTTGATTTTTCTTGAGAGTATATCTCTCACATAAACGAATTTTCTCTCAATTCTCTCTCGAAACCCTAGAGATCATCCATCCTCAGTGGTATCTAATCTAAAGCGTCTTATTTTTCCTCTTACTAAAACTTTGAGACTCAAGATATATTTATAAAAATAAACTATAATTTTTTAAAAAAATTAATTTAATTAAAACTCATCTAATTAATTTAAATATAATTAAAACTTTTAGAGAAACACTTGAAACCCTAACACTTCTCTCTCACCACAAGTTTTGTGAGCTTAAAAGTCTTCGCACTCTCTTATGACATATTTGATGACGACATGGATGAAATCTCAATCTCGGTGTACAATTTAGGTGAAGTATTGAAGAGAAGATTAGACAGTCTGTATAAGAGATTGAGACACATTGAAGTGGGACATTTATTGGGCAGCTGATCATGGCATTACTCATGTGGTTGCTGACTTAAGAGTCAACAAAAACACATTCCATGTTGTTGAAAGGGAATTGTAGCAACCTCTTTTGGCCTGATAGGAATATGGATGGTATAAGAATGCTCGTCAAGTTGGGTCAATTCCACATCCGTCATGAGCAACAACACAGCAAATCTTGGGGGAATTGACTTTGACATCCTCAAATAATACTTTCTTTATCAGTGCCTGATGTGATGTGAGCAATTGATGCATCGTATGAATCGAGTACACACAGATTCTTGTATGGTATTATGACTTGTATGAATGATGAAGTATGGTATAAAATCGTGCAGTGATAGGCTACATCAGTATACAAAGGGCGAATGCGATGTATGAGACTCTTACCAACGTAGAATGAGGATGATCAAATGTATTCTTTCTTATACGTATAAATGGAGAGATTATTTTATGACTCAAACCATGATGATCGAGGTTGCAATGGCATAAAGGTATTCGTACACGAATCAAATTAAGAGCCCTATTCATATACATTTAAAATTCAATATGTTCCCTATTTATAACCTTAGAATTTTTAGCTACTCAACGGAATTAATATTCAACAGATCTCATCGATGCAATTTAGAAGTAGTAATTAGAGAGTATCGACAACTAATGAACACTATTGTTTTAGGAAGAGTTAAGGTCTATTTTAACTCTTTTTATTTTAATCAACAATCATTTAAGTTCTTATGATTTACTAATGTCTAAAATAATTTTTATATTTTTAAAAACATAACATATAAGTTTTTTTCGTTAATGCTTATGTGGCATGCTGATTCATAATAAATAATTAATATAATGATATATATAATTTAAGTTTAAAAAAAGATTAAGGTTCCTCTTGTTGAGAAAGAGGAAGCGTGGTAGTGGGGACGAAGATATCCAAGAGGAGGGATAGAGACTAGGAGACTACTACATACCTAACGTTAAACTGATCGATGCACATCCACCTAAGGCAGGATAAAAAGCTCCTAAGCTCATCGTTAGTACGGGAGAGGCTACGTGCGTACGACACCCTGCTATGTAGCAATGACTCGATGCTGCTATTGGTAGTCGCTTCCATGACGATATCTCCTCCCGTCATTGATGATAGTCTTAGTTTTTTTTAAAACTTAAATTATATATATCATTATATTAATAGTTTATTATGAGTTAGCATATCATGTAAGCAAACTCTAAATCTGTTAACTCAAACTTGACGAGAAGAGCTTATATGCTATATTTTTTGAAATATAGAGGTTATTTTAGATACGAATAAACCATAGGAGCTTAAGTGGTCCATGGGTAAAACCATAGGCGCTAAAATAAACTTTAATTTTTTTTAATTTAAATTACATGTATCATTATATTAATGATTTATTATAAGCAGAATCTAATATTTATTAACTTAAACTTGATGAGAGAGATTTATATTTTATGTTTTTAAAAATATATAGATTGTTTTAAATATGAGTAAAATATAAGAACTTAAATGTCGACCAAAATTATATGAGTTAAAATGGACCTTAACCCTTTTAATAATTATTAAAAAAAAAAACATGTGATGCGGCTAACTTAGAACTCAAGCTTCGAAAAGTGAGGACAAGTGAATCAAGAGTCATTAAAAGGAAGATATCACTGTAGGTGACAACATAGATTGAGCACATCTAACGTGACTGCTCCTAAGAATGCGGTGGCATTTTGTACCACAGAGATACTGTGCATTGATTGGGTGG